CCGGCCTGTTGGTCCTGTGGACCGGTTGGACCAACCGGCCTGTTGGTCCTGTGGACCGGTTGGACCAACCGGCCTGTTGGTCCTGTGGACCGGTTGGACCAACCGGCCTTTTGGTCCTGTGGACCGGTTGGACCAACCGGCCTGTTGGTCCTGTGGACCGGTTGGACCAACCGGCCTGTTGGTCCTGTGGACCGGTTGGACCAGCCGGCCTGTTGGTCCTGTGGACCGGTTGGACCACCCGGCCAGTTGGTCCTGTGGACCGTTTGGACCAACCGGCCTGTTGGTCCTATGGACCGGTTGGACCAACCGGCCTGTTGGTCCTGTGGACCGGTTGGACCAACTGACCTGTTGGTCCTGTGGACCGGTTGGACCAACCGGCCAGTTGGTCCTGTGGACCGGTTGGACCAACCGGCCAGTTGGTCTTGTGGACCGGTTGGACCAACCGGCCTGTTGGTCCTGTGGACCGGTTTGACCAACCGGCCAGTTGGTCATGTGGACCGGTTGGACCAACCGGCCTGTTGGTCCTGTGGACCGGTTGGACCAACCGGCCAGTTGGTCCTTTACACCGGTTGGACCAACCGGTCTGTTGGTCCTATGGACCGGTTGGACCAACCGGCCTGTTGGTCCTGTGGACCGGTTGGACCAACCGGCCTGTTGGTCCTGTGGACCGGTTGGACCAACTGGCCTGTTGGTCCTGTGGACCGGTTGGACCAACCGGCCTGTTGGTCCTGTGGACCGGTTGGACCAACCAGCCTGTTGGTCCTGTGGACCGGTTGGACCAACCGGCCTGTTGGTCCTGTGGACCGGTTGGACCAACCGGCCTGTTGGTCCTGTGGACCGGTTGGACCAACGGGCCTGTTGGTCCTGTGGACCGGTTGGACCAACCGGCCTGTTGGTCCTGTGGACCCGTTGGACCAACCGGCCTGTTGGTCCTTTGGACCGGTTGGACCAACCGGCCTGTTGGTCCTGTGGACCGGTTGGACCAACCGGCCTGTCCCGCTGGACCAACCGGCCTGTTGGTCCTTTGGACCCGTTGGACCAACCGGCCAGTTGGTCCTGTGGACCGGTTGGACCAACCGGTCTGTTGGTCCTATGGACCGGTTGGACCAACCGGCCAGTTGGTCCTGTGGACCGGTTGGACCAACCGGCCAGTTGGTCCTGTGGACCGGTTGGACCAACCGGCCTGTTGGTCCTGTGGACCGGTTGGACCAACCGGCCTGTTGGTCCTCTGGACCGGTTGGACTAACCGGCCAGTTGGTCCTATGGACCGGTTGGACCAACCGGCCAGTTGGTCCTGTGGACCGGTTGGACCAACCGGCCTGTTGGTCCTGTGGACCGGTTTGACCAACCCGCCAGTTGGTCGTGTGGACCGGTTGGTCCAACCGGCCAGTTGGTCCTGTGGACCGGTTGGACCAACCGGCCAGTTGGTCCTGTGGACCGGTTGGACCAACCGGCCTGTTGGTCCTGTGGACCGGTTGGACCAACCGGCCTGTTGGTCCTGTGGACCGGTTGGACCAATCGGCCTGTTGGTCCTGTGGACCGGTTAGACCTACCGGCCTGTTGGTCCTGTGGACCGGTTGGACCAACCGGCCTTTTGGTCCTGTGGACCGGTTGGACCAACCGGCCTGTTGGTCCAGTGGACCGGTTGGACCAACCGGCCTGTTGGTCCTGTGGACCGGTTGGACCAGCCGGCCTGTTGGTCCTGTGGACCGGTTGGACCAACCGGCCAGTTGGTCCTGTGGACCGGTTGGACCAACCGGCCTGTTGGTCCTGTGGAACGGTTGGACCTACCGGCCTGTTGGTCCTGTGGACCGGTTGGACCAACTGACCTGTTGGTCCTGTGGACCGGTTGGACCAACCGGCCAGTTGGTCCTTTGGACCGGTTGGACCAACCGACTTGTTGGTCATGTGGACCGGTTGGACCAACCGGCCTGTTGGTCCTGTGGACCGGTTGGACCAACCGGCCTGTTGGTCCTCTTGACCGGCTGGACTAACCGGCCAGTTGGTCCTATGGACCGGTTGGACCAACCGGCTTGTTGGTCCTGTGGACCGGTTGGACCAACCGGCTTGTTGGTCCTGTGGACCGGTTGGACCAACCGGCTTGTTGGTCCTGTGGACCGGTTGGACCAACGGGCCAGTTGGTCCTGTGGACCAGTTGGACCAATAGGCCTGTTGGACCTTTGGACCCGTTGGACCAACCGGCCTGTTGGTCCTGTGTACCGGTCGGACCAAACGGCCTGTTGGTCCTGTGGACCGGTTGGACCAACCGGCCAGTTGGTCCTGTGGACCGGTTGGACCAACCGGCCTGTTGGTCCTCTGGACCGGTTGGACTAACCGGCCAGTTGGTCCTATGGACCGGTTGGACCAACCGGCCAGTTGGTCGTGTGGACCGGTTGGACCAACCGGCCAGTTGGTCGTGTGGACCGGTTGGTCCAACCGGCCAGTTGGTCCTGTGGACCGGTTGGACCAGCTGGCCTGATGGTCCTGTGGACCGGTTGGACCAACCGGCCAGTTGGTCCTGTGGACCGGTTGGACCAACCGGCCTGTTGGTCCTGTGGACTGGTTGAACCAACCGGCCTGTTGGTCCTGTGGACCGGTTGGACCAACCGGCCTGTTGGTCCTGTGGACCGGTTGGACCAACCGGCCTGTTGGTCCTATGGACCGGTTGGACCAACCGGCCTGTTGGCCCTGTGGACCGGTTGGACCAACTGGCCTGTTGGTCTTATGGACCGGTTGGACCAACCGGCCAGGTGGTCCTATGGACCAGTTGGACCAACGGGCCTGTTGGTCCTGTGGACCGGTAGGACCAACCGGCATGTTGGTCCTGTGGACCCGTTGGACCAACCGGCGTGTTGGTCCTTTGGACCCGTTGGACCAACGGGCCAGTTGGTCCTGTGGACCAGTTGGACCAGTAGGCCTGTTGGTCCTTTGGACGGGTTGGACCAACCGGCCAGTTGGTCCTGTGGACCGGTTGGACCAACCGGCCAGTTGGTCCTGTGGACCGGTTGGACCAACCGGCCAGTTGGTCGTGTGGACCGGTTGGTCCAACCGGCCAGTTGGTCCTGTGGACCGGTTGGACCAACCGGCCTGTTGGTCCTGTGGACCAGTTTGACCAACCGGCCAGTTGGTCATGTGGACCGGTTGGTCCAACCGGCCAGTTGGTCCTGTGGACCGGTTGGACGAACCGGCCAGTTGGTCCTGTGGACCGGTTGGACGAACCGGCCTGTTGGTCCTGTGGACCGGTTGGACCTACCGGCCTGTTGGTCGTGTGGACCGGTTGGACCAACCGGCTTGTTGGTCCTATGGACCGGTTGGACCAACCGGCCTGTTGGTCCTGTGGACCGGTTGGACCAACCGACCTTTTGGTCCTGTGGACCGGTTGGACCAACCGGCCTGTTGGTCCTGTGGACCGGTTGGACCAACCGGCCTGTTGGTCCTGTGGACCGGTTGGACCAGCCGGCCTGTTGGTCCTGTGGACCGGTTGGACCACCCGGCCAGTTGGTCCTGTGGACCGGTTGGACCAACCGGCCTGTTGGTCCTGTGGACCGGTTGGACCAACCGGCCTGTTCGTCCTGTGGACCGGTTGGACCAACCGGCCTGTTGGTTCTGTGGACCGGTTGGACCAACCGGCCTGTTGGTCCTGTGGACCGGTTGGACCAACCGGCCTGTTGGTCCTGTGGACCGGTTGGACCAACCGACCTTTTGGTCCTGTGGACCGGTTGGACCAACCGGCCTGTTGGTCCTGTGGACCGGTTGGACCAACCGGCCTGTTGGTCCTGTGGACCGGTTGGACCAGCCGGCCTGTTGGTCCTGTGGACCGGTTGGACCACCCGGCCAGTTGGTCATGTGGACCGGTTGGACCAACCGGCCTGTTGGTTCTGTGGACCGGTTGGACCAACCGGCCAGTTGGTCCTGTGGACCGGTTGGACCAACTGACCTGTTGGTCCTGTGGACCGGTTGGACCAACCGGCCAGTTGGTCCTGTGGACCGGTTGGACCAACCGGCCTGTTGGTCCTGTGGACCGGTTGGACCAACCGGCCTGTTGGTCCTGTGGACCGGTTGGACCAACTGACCTGTTGGTCCTGTGGACCGGTTGGACCAACCGGCCAGTTGGTCCTGTGGACCGGTTGGACCAACCGGCCTGTTGGTCATGTGGACCGGTTGGACCAACCGGCCTGTTGGTCCTGTGGACCGGTTGGACCAACCGGCCAGTTGGTCCTTTACACCGGTTGGACCAACCGGTCTGTTGGTCCTATGGACCGGTTGGACCAACCGGCCTGTTGGTCCTGTGGACCGGTTGGACCAACCGGCCTGTTGGTCCCGTGGACCGGTTGGACCAACCGGCCTGTTGGTCCTGTGGACCGGTTGGACCAACCGGCCTGTTGGTCCTGTGGACCGGTTGGACCAACCGGCCTGTTGGTCCTGTGGACCGGTTGGACCAACCGGCCAGTTGGTCCCGTGGACCGGTTGGACCAACGGGCCTGTTGGTCCTGTGGACCGGTTGGACCAACCGGCCTGTTGGTCCTGTGGACCCGTAGGACCAACCGGCCTGTTGGTCCTTTGGACCCGTTGGACCAACGGGCCTGTTGGTCCTGTGGACCGGTTGGACCAACCGGCCTGTTGGTCCTTTGGACCCGCTGGACCAACCGGCCTGTTGGTCCTTTGGACCCGTTGGACCAACCGGCCTGTTGGTCCTGTGGACCGGTTGGACCAACCGGTCTGTTGGTCCTGTGGACCGGTTGGACCAACTGGCTTGTTGGTCGTGTGGACCGGTTAGACCAACCGGCCTGTTGGTCCTGTGGACCGGTAGGACCAACCGGCCTGTTGGTCCTGTGGACCGGTTGGACCAACCGGCCTGTTGGTCCTGTGGACCGGTTGGACCAACCAGCCAGTTGGTCCAATGGACCGGTTGGACCAACCGGCCAGTTGGTCCTGTGGACCGGTTGGACAAACCGGCCTGTTGGTCCTGTGGACCGGTTTGACCAACCGGCCAGTTGGTCATGTGGACCGGTTGGTCCAACCGGCCAGTTGGTCATGTGGACCGGTTGGTCCAACTGGCCAGTTGGTCCTGTGGACCGGTTGGACCAACCGGCCTGTTGGTCCTGTGGACCGGTTGGACCAACCGGCCTGTTGGTCCTGTGGACCGGTTGGAACAACCCGCCAGTTGGTCCAATGGACCGGTTGGACCAACCGGCCAGTTGGTCCTGTGGACCGGTTGGACTAACCGGCCTGTTGGTCCTGTGGAGCGGTTTGACCAACCGGCCAGTTGGTCATGTGGACCGGTTGGTCCAACTGGCCAGTTGGTCCTGTGGACCGGTTGGACTAACCGGAATGTTGGTCCTGTGGAGCGGTTTGACCAACCGGCCAGTTGGTCATGTGGACCGGTTGGTCCAACTGGCCAGTTGGTCCTGTGGACCGGTTGGACCAACCGGCCTGTTGGTCGTGTGGACCGGTTGGTCCAACCGGCCTGTTGGTCCTGTGGACCGGTTGGACCAACCGGCCTTTTGGTCCTGTGGACCGGTTGGACCAACCGGCCTGTTGGTCCTGTGGACCGGTTGGACCAACCGGCCTTTTGGTCCTGTGGACCGGTTGGACCAACCGGCCTGTTGGTCCTGTGGACCGGTTGGACCAACCGGCCTGTTGGTCCTGTGGACCGGTTGGACCAGCCGGCCTGTTGGTCCTGTGGACCGGTTGGACCAACCGGCCAGTTGGTCCTGTGGACCGGTTGGACCAACCGGCCTGTTGGTCCTGTGGACCGGTTGGACCAACCGGCCTGTTGGTCCTGTGGACCGGTTGGACCAACTGACCTGTTGGTCCTGTGGACCGGTTGGACCAACCGGCCAGTTGGTCCTGTGGACCGGTTGGACCAACCGGCTTGTTGGTCATGTGGACCGGTTGGACCAACCGGCCTGTTGGTCCTGTGGACCGGTTGGACCAACCGGCCTGTTGGTCCTGTGGACCGGTTGGACCTACCGGCCTGTTGGTCCTATGGACCGGTTGGACCAACCGGCCTGTTGGTCCTGTGGACCGGTTGGACCAACCGGCCTGTTGGTCCTGTGGACCGGTTGGACCAACCGGCCTTTTGGTCCTGTGGACCGGTTGGTCCAACCGGCCTGTTGGTCCTGTGGACCGGTTTGACCAACCGGCCAGTTGGTCCTGTGGACCGGTTTGACCAACCGGCCAGTTGGTCCTGTGGACCGGTTGGACCAACCGGCCAGTTGGTCCTGTGGACCGGTTGGTCCAACCGGCCTGTTGGTCCTGTGGACCGGTTGGACCAACCGGCCAGTTGGTCCTGTGGACCGGTTGGACCAACTGACCTGTTGGTCCTGTGGACCGGTTGGACCAACCGGCCAGTTGGTCCTGTGGACCGGTTGGACCAACTGACCTGTTGGTCCTGTGGACCGGTTGGACCAACCGGCCAGTTGGTCCTGTGGACCGGTTGGACCAGCCGGCTTGTTGGTCATGTGGACCGGTTGGACCAACCGGCCTGTTGGTCCTGTGGACCGGTTGGACCAACCGGCCAGTTGGTCCTGTGGACCGGTTGGACCAACCGGCTTGTTGGTCATGTGGACCGGTTGGACCAACCGGCCTGTTGGTCCTGTGGACCGGTTGGACCAACCGGCCAGTTGGTCCTGTGGACCGGTTGGACCAACCGGCCTTTTGGTCCTGTGGACCGGTTGGACCAACTGGCCTGTTGGTCCTGTGGACCGGTTGGACCAACCGGCCAGTTGGTCCTGTGGACCGGTTGGACCAACCGGCCAATTGGTCCTGTGGACCGGTTGGACCAACCGGCCTGTTGGTCCTGTGGACCGGTTGGACCAACCGGCCTGTTGGTCCTGTGGACCGGTTGGACCAACCGGCCTGTTGGTCCTGTGGACCGGTTGGTCCAACCGGCCTGTTGGTCCTGTGGACCGGTTGGACCAACCGGCCTGTTGGTCCTGTGGACCCTGTGTCCTGTGGACCGGTTGGACCAACTGACCTGTTGGTCCTGTGGACCGGTTGGACCAACCGGCCAGTTGGTCCTGTGGACCGGTTGGACCAACCGGCATGTTGGTCCTGTGGACCGGTTGGACCAACCGGCCTGTTGGTCCTGTGGACTGGTTGGACCAACCGGCCAGTTGGTCCTGTGGACCGGTTGGACCAACCGGCCAGTTGGTCCTGTGGACCGGTTGGACCAACCCGCCTGTTGGTCGTGTGGACCGGTTGGACCAACCGGCCAGTTGGTCCTGTGGACCGGTTGGACCAACCGGCCAGTTGGTCGTGTGGACCGGTTGGTCCAACCGGCCAGTTGGTCCTGTGGACCGGTTGGACCAACCGGCCTGATGGTCCTGTGGACCGGTTGGACCAACCGGCCAGTTGGTCCTGTGGACCGCTTGGACCAACCGGCCAGTTGGTCCTGTGGACCGGTTGGACCAACCGGCCAGTTGGTCTTGTGGACCGGTTGGACCAACCGGCCTGTTGGTCCTGTGGACCGGTTTGACCAACCGGCCAGTTGGTCATGTGGACCGGTTGGACCAACCGGCCTGTTGGTCCTGTGGACCGGTTGGACCAACCGGCCAGTTGGTCCTTTACACCGGTTGGACCAACCGGTCTGTTGGTCCTATGGACCGGTTGGACCAACCGGCCTGTTGGTCCTGTGGACCGGTTGGACCAACCGGCCTGTTGGTCCTGTGGACCGGTTGGACCAACTGGCCTGTTGGTCCTGTGGACCGGTTGGACCAACCGGCCTGTTGGTCCTGTGGACCGGTTGGACCAACCAGCCTGTTGGTCCTGTGGACCGGTTGGACCAACCGGCCTGTTGGTCCTGTGGACCGGTTGGACCAACCGGCCTGTTGGTCCTGTGGACCGGTTGGACCAACGGGCCTGTTGGTCCTGTGGACCGGTTGGAACCAACCGGCCTGTTGGTCCTGTGGACCCGTTGGACCAACCGGCCTGTTGGTCCTTTGGACCGGTTGGACCAACCGGCCTGTTGGTCCTGTGGACCGGTTGGACCAACCGGCCTGTCCCGCTGGACCAACCGGCCTGTTGGTCCTTTGGACCCGTTGGACCAACCGGCCAGTTGGTCCTGTGGACCGGTTGGACCAACCGGTCTGTTGGTCCTATGCACCGGTTGGACCAACCGGCCAGTTGGTCCTGTGGACCGGTTGGACCAACCGGCCAGTTGGTCCTGTGGACCGGTTGGACCAACCGGCCTGTTGGTCCTGTGGACCGGTTGGACCAACCGGCCTGTTGGTCCTCTGGACCGGTTGGACTAACCGGCCAGTTGGTCCTATGGACCGGTTGGACCAACCGGCCAGTTGGTCCTGTGGACCGGTTGGACCAACCGGCCTGTTGGTCCTGTGGACCGGTTTGACCAACCCGCCAGTTGGTCGTGTGGACCGGTTGGTCCAACCGGCCAGTTGGTCCTGTGGACCGGTTGGACCAACCAGCCAGTTGGTCCTGTGGACCGGTTGGACCAACCGGCCTGTTGGTCCTGTGGACCGGTTGGACCAACCGGCCTGTTGGTCCTGTGGACCGGTTGGACCAATCGGCCTGTTGGTCCTGTGGACCGGTTAGACCTACCGGCCTGTTGGTCCTGTGGACCGGTTGGACCAACCGGCCTTTTGGTCCTGTGGACCGGTTGGACCAACCGGCCTGTTGGTCCAGTGGACCGGTTGGACCAACCGGCCTGTTGGTCCTGTGGACCGGTTGGACCAGCCGGCCTGTTGGTCCTGTGGACCGGTTGGACCAACCGGCCAGTTGGTCCTGTGGACCGGTTGGACCAACCGGCCTGTTGGTCCTGTGGAACGGTTGGACCTACCGGCCTGTTGGTCCTATGGACCGGTTGGACCAACTGACCTGTTGGTCCTGTGGACCGGTTGGACCAACCGGCCAGTTGGTCCTTTGGACCGGTTGGACCAACCGACTTGTTGGTCATGTGGACCGGTTGGACCAACCGGCCTGTTGGTCCTGTGGACCGGTTGGACCAACCGGCCTGTTGGTCCTCTTGACCGGCTGGACTAACCGGCCAGTTGGTCCTATGGACCGGTTGGACCAACCGGCTTGTTGGTCCTGTGGACCGGTTGGACCAACCGGCTTGTTGGTCCTGTGGACCGGTTGGACCAACCGGCCAGTTGGTCCTGTGGACCGCTTGGACCAACCGGCCAGTTGGTCCTGTGGACCGGTTGGACCAACCGGCCAGTTGGTCTTGTGGACCGGTTGGACCAACCGGCCTGTTGGTCCTGTGGACCGGTTTGAACCAACCGGCCAGTTGGTCATGTGGACCGGTTGGACCAACCGGCCTGTTGGTCCTGTGGACCGGTTGGACCAACCGGCCAGTTGGTCCTTTACACCGGTTGGACCAACCGGTCTGTTGGTCCTATGGACCGGTTGGACCAACCGGCCTGTTGGTCCTGTGGACCGGTTGGACCAACCGGCCTGTTGGTCCTGTGGACCGGTTGGACCAACTGGCCTGTTGGTCCTGTGGACCGGTTGGACCAACCGGCCTGTTGGTCCTGTGGACCGGTTGGACCAACCGGCCTGTTGGTCCTGTGGACCGGTTGGACCAACCAGCCTGTTGGTCCTGTGGACCGGTTGGACCAACCGGCCTGTTGGTCCTGTGGACCGGTTGGACCAACCGGCCTGTTGGTCCTGTGGACCGGTTGGACCAACGGGCCTGTTGGTCCTGTGGACCGGTTGGACCAACCGGCCTGTTGGTCCTGTGGACCCGTTGGACCAACCGGCCTGTTGGTCCTTTGGACCGGTTGGACCAACCGGCCTGTTGGTCCTGTGGACCGGTTGGACCAACCGGCCTGTCCCGCTGGACCAACCCGGCCTGTTGGTCCTTTGGACCCGTTGGACCAACCGGCCAGTTGGTCCTGTGGACGGGTTGGACCAACCGGTCTGTTGGTCCTATGCACCGGTTGGACCAACCGGCCAGTTGGTCCTGTGGACCGGTTGGACCAACCGGCCAGTTGGTCCTGTGGACCGGTTGGACCAACCGGCCTGTTGGTCCTGTGGACCGGTTGGACCAACCGGCCTGTTGGTCCTCTGGACCGGTTGGACTAACCGGCCAGTTGGTCCTATGGACCGGTTGGACCAACCGGCCAGTTGGTCCTGTGGACCGGTTGGACCAACCGGCCTGTTGGTCCTGTGGACCGGTTTGACCAACCCGCCAGTTGGTCGTGTGGACCGGTTGGTCCAACCGGCCAGTTGGTCCTGTGGACCGGTTGGACCAACCGGCCAGTTGGTCCTGTGGACCGGTTGGACCAACCGGCTTGTTGGTCCTGTGGACCGGTTGGACCAACCGGCTTGTTGGTCCTGTGGACCGGTTGGACCAACGGGCCAGTTGGTCCTGTGGACCAGTTGGACCAATAGGCCTGTTGGACCTTTGGACCCGTTGGACCAACCGGCCTGTTGGTCCTGTGTACCGGTCGGACCAAACGGCCTGTTGGTCCTGTGGACCGGTTGGACCAACCGGCCAGTTGGTCCTGTGGACCGGTTGGACCAACCGGCCTGTTGGTCCTCTGGACCGGTTGGACTAACCGGCCAGTTGGTCCTATGGACCGGTTGGACCAACCGGCCAGTTGGTCCTGTGGACCGGTTGGACCAACCGGCCAGTTGGTCGTGTGGACCGGTTGGTCCAACCGGCCAGTTGGTCCTGTGGACCGGTTGGACCAGCTGGCCTGATGGTCCTGTGGACCGGTTGGACCAACCGCCAGTTGGTCCTGTGGACCGGTTGGACCAACCGGCCTGTTGGTCCTGTGGACCGGTTGAACCAACCGGCCTGTTGGTCCTGTGGACCGGTTGGACCAACCGGCCTGTTGGTCCTGTGGACCGGTTGGACCAACCGGCCTGTTGGTCCTATGGACCGGTTGGACCAACCGGCCTGTTGGCCCTGTGGACCGGTTGGACCAACTGGCCTGTTGGTCTTATGGACCGGTTGGAACCAAACCGGCCAGGTGGTCCTATGGACCAGTTGGACCAACGGGCCTGTTGGTCCTGTGGACCGGTAGGACCAACTGGCATGTTGGTCCTGTGGACCCGTTGGACCAACCGGCGTGTTGGTCCTTTGGACCCGTCGGACCAACAGGCCAGTTGGTCCTGTGGACCCAGTTGGACCAGTAGGCCTGTTGGTCCATTGGACGGGTTGGACCAACCGGCCAGTTGGTCCTGTGGACCGGTTGGACCAACCGGCCAGTTGGTCCTGTGGACCGGTTGGACCAACCGGCCTGTTGGTCCTGTGGACCAGTTTGACCAACCGGCCAGTTGGTCATGTGGACCGGTTTGGTCCAACCGGCCAGTTGGTCCTGTGGACCGGTTGGACGAACCGGCCAGTTGGGTCCTGTGGACCGGTTGGACGAACCGGCCTGTTGGTCCTGTGGACCGGTTGGACCTACCGGCCTGTTGGTCGTGTGGACCGGTTGGACCAACCGGCCTGTTGGTCCTGTGGACCGGTTGGACCAACCGGCCTGTTGGTCCTGTGGACCGGTTGGACCAACCGACCTTTTGGTCCTGTGGACCGGTTGGACCAACCGGCCTGTTGGTCCTGTGGACCGGTTGGACCAACCGGCCTGTTGGTCCTGTGGACCGGTTGGACCAGCCGGCCTGTTGGTCCTGTGGACCGGTTGGACCACCCGGCCTGTTGGTCCTGTGGACCGGTTGGACCAACCGGCCTGTTGGTCCTGTGGACCGGTTGGACCAACCGGCCTGTTGGTCCTGTGGACCGGTTGGACCAACCGGCCTGTTGGTTCTGTGGACCGGTTGGACCAACCGGCCTGTTGGTCCTGTGGACGCGGTTGGACCAAACCGGCCTGTTGTGTCCTGTGGACCGGTTGGACCAACCGACCTTTTGGGTCCTGTGGACCGGTTGGACCAACCGGCCTGTTGGTCCTGTGGACCGGTTGGACCAACCGGCCTGTTGGTCCTGTGGACCGGTTGGACCAGCCGGCCTGTTGGTCCTGTGGACCGGTTGGACCACCCGGCTAGTTGGTCATGTGGACCGGTTTGGACCAACCGGCCTGTTGGTTCTGTGGACCGGTTGGACCAACCGGCCAGTTGGTCCTGTGGACCGTTGGACCAACTGACCTGTTGGTCGTGTGGACCGGTTGGACAACCGGCCAGTTGGTCCTGTGGACCGGTTGGACCAACCGGCCTGTTGGTCCTGTGGACCGGTTGGACCAACTGACCTGTTTGGTCCTGTGGACCGTTGGACCAACCGGCCAGTTGGTCCTGTGGAACGGTTGGACCAACCGGCCTGTTGGTCATGTGGACCGTTGGACCAACCGGCCTGTTGGTCCTGTGGACCGGTTGGACCAACCGGCCAGTTGGTCCTTTACACCGGTTGGACCAACCGGTCTGTTGGTCCTATGGACCGGTTGGACCAACCGGCCTGTTGGTCCTGTGGACCGGTTGGACCAACCGGCCTGTTGGTCCTGTGGACCGGTTGGACCAACCGGCCTGTTGGTCCTGTGGACCGGTTGGACCAACCGGCCTGTTGGTCCTGTGGACCGGTTGGACCAACCGGCCTGTTGGTCCTGTGGACCGGTTGGACCAACCGGCCTGTTGGTCCTGTGGACCGGTTGGACCAACGGGCCTGTTGGTCCTGTGGACCGGTGGACCAACCGGCCTGTTGGTCCTGTGGACCCGTATGACCAACCGGCCTGTTGGTCCTTTGGACCCGTTGGACCAACGGGCCTGTTGGTCCTGTGGACCGGTTGGACCAACCGGCTTTGGTCCTTTGGACCCCGTTGGACCAACCGGCCTGTTGGTCCTTTGGACCGTTGGACCAACCGGCCTGTTGGTCCTGTGGACCGGTTGGACCAACCGGTCTGTTGGTCCTGTGGACCGGTTGGACCAGCTGGCTTGTTGGTCGTGTGGACCGGTTGGACCAACCGGCCTGTTGGTCCTGTGACCGTTGGACCAACCGGCCTGTTGGTCCTGTGGGACCGGTTGGACCAACCG